CAAGCCACCTCTCCAGTAGAAGCCATCTCTACGCCTAGGATAGGGTCGGCCCCAGACAGCTGGCTGAAACTAATTTGGGGTACTTTGACACCAACATAGTCAGGCGGGAGATTGAGATCGGGATAAGACTCTACTGGAATGTCGAGCATGACTTTGGTGGCCATTTTGATTGCATCGACGCCCAATCGACGCCAGTGACTTTTGACACGAAGGAGAACGACCATGCGGCCCGTAGATTACACTCAATGACCTTAATCTCGTTAATCTTGGCAATGAACTGGATATTGAAAGGACCAGCCACATTCAGAGCGTTTCTGATCTTCGCTGTCGCCTCCTTGATCTGGCGGACAGTCTGTGGATCCAAGTCCTGAGGAGGGTGGATGAGCGTGGCATCACCCCAATGGACCCCTGCATTTTCCACATGCTCTGAGATATAGTGCATAACCATCTTTCCATCCTTCGCCACAGTGCCCATCTCAATCTCTTTGGCCTGTTCGATGTACTTGGAGATGACGACAGGATGATCTCGTGATACCTCAGCAGCTTGGGTCAAGTAGTTCGCCAAATCATCACTTGTAGACACGACGTTCAGGGGAGAACGTAGGAGGGGCGGACAAGGACAGGATAACCAACGGCCTGGCAGAAACTAGAAGCATCCTCGAAACTGGTAAGCTCCTTCCACAAAGGCTGGTCAACACCGATTTCATCGAGGAGGCAAGAGAACTGGAATCGACTTTCGGCAGTATCGATCATTTTGGGTGAGGTCCCATAAATCTTCACATTCTGGCGATGTAAAGGCAGAGCAATGTTGTTTAGCGTTTGACCACCCATAGACAGGATGACACCGCGTGATTGTTCTGTGTCGTAAATGTCGAGGATGGTCTCCAAGCTAATGTTCTCGAAGCACAACCTATCAGCCTCGTCATAATCAGTGCTGACGGTTTCGGGGTTGTAGTTGATCATGACAGTTTGAAGGCCTTGATCACGAAGGGTGCGGATGGCGCGGACCGCACACCTATCAAATTCAACAGAAGGGCCAATGCAATAGACGCCTGAGACTAGAACATGACACCCCTGTCGTGAAACTCAACATCATGCTCAACCGCGTTGTAGGTGGTGTATAAGTAGTTGGTAAAGGCCGGGAATTCCGCGGCCACAATATCAATTTGTTTGACAAATGGAGCAATTCCCGCTTCTTGATGGAGTTTTCAAACGGCAAGCTCAGTCGAGCTGATGCAGGTAGCAATTTGATGATCCGAGAAACCGTATTGCTTCGATTGTCGAAGTAGGTCTGATGATAGATTCGAGGCATTGCAAGTTCTATGGGTTAACCTATCAGAAAGGAAGAAACCAAGGATGACAGTTGACTCACGAAAGACATTGTTCCAGCTTGAAGATGTTTTGGAGCTTGTCTAAGAACCATTTATCGATGTTCGTCATCTGCCATATTTTGTCGACGCTATAACCACGATTGAAGGCAGTTGATATAGCAAAGACCCGTTTATCCATAGGGTTGACGAGCTCCTCATCAATATTCTCCACAAAATCATTCTAACCAAGCCACTGAGGTAAGAATCAGAATGATATGATGTACAGAACAGAAGCTTACTTTAGCAAATCCAGAAAACTGATCATTGATCGCTTGAATCGCTTTTTGGAACGTTTCTTCAAATGTGCGGCCGATGCTTATAACCTCGCCCACACTCTTCACGCTGCTGCTCAGAAGACGACTGACGCGATTGAACTTTTTCAGATCCCAGCGAGGAATCTTGACGACTACGTAGTCCAAACTTGGCTCGAAGCAGGCATTGGTGACTTTTTGGTGACAGAGTTCTTCATCTCGTTGAGTGGGATCCCAAGGCCAAGCTTAGCAGCAATGAAGGCGAGGGGGTATCCAGTGGCTTTGGAGGCCAGGGCGGACGAACGGGAAAGTCGAGCGTTAACCTACAGAGTTCATCGGGTTTAGACGGCAATAAGACTGCCCTTTTTGATGTTATGCTCACCTCGATAATATAGTGTAAATTCCCTCCTCCTTGAGTGCCTTGATAGCTTGTGAACCGGCGTAGTCGAATTCACCTACTTGACCTATGAACAAGCCGCCTGAGCCAAGGATGATGACCTTGCTGACCAGGAACACGTCTCGCATTATCTTCCTTG